GGTGGCTTGATGACTCTTCTCGTCCTATCTCTTGTCAATAGGCAGTCATCGATAGTTTCCTCAACTTCCTCAGCATCTTCTGCTTCTTCTTCGACTTCGTCTGGGATACACAATTCAGCATCAACATGCTCCACCTCAACAGGAATCTCTCCCTGTTCCAGCTCTTCGTCAGATATTTCTGCACTTCGATCAACATCATCAGTTTTCTTGAAAGACATTTCAGCTTCATAAAAAACTACATTTTGACTGGTGATACACCTCTTGTGACCTGGCTATAGGCACCATAACCTATAAGCTTTGACTCCTTCAGGATATCCCATGAACATGCATTTCAGAGGTCTAGGTTCGACCTTATCTTGCTTAATGTGAGTATAGGCTACGCATCCAAATACTCTCAGTTTATCGAGATCTGTTGGATGTCCCTACCAAACTTCTTCGGGTGTCTTCATGTCTAACACAGTCGAAGGGCATCCATTTATAAAATATGTTGTTGTCGTAACAGCCACAGCCCAAAACACATTCTTCAATCTAGCACTAGTTAACATGCATATAACTCTTTCCAAGATAGTTCGATTAAACATTTTAGCAAAACCATTTTGTTATAGAGTAACTGCAGTAGTTCTATGCCTTGCAATACCAGAGACATCAAAAAATCATCTAAAGCATCATTGCAAAACTCAAGGCCATTGTCGGTTCTCAACCTCTTGACCTTTCAGCCAGTTTGATTTTTGACCAGAGTCTTCTAACTTTTGAAATTCTCAAAAGTTTCATCCTTAGTCTTTTGGATGAATACCCATAACTTTCTGGAATAATCATCTATTATGGATAGAAAATACCTTACTCCTGAATGTGATGGACATCTTGCAGCCCCCCCAAGATCAACATGGATGTAATCAAGAAATCCATGTGTTCTTTGTTTGCCTTTGTTGAACTTTACTCAACAAGATTTTCCAAGTACACAGGGTTCACAAAGTTTCATCTTTTCGACTTTGTCTCCACCAAGAAAATTTTGTTTCTCTAATTCGACCAAACTCCTTTTACTGATATGGCCTAATCTCATGTGCTAAATTTCTGTCTTTGACAAAGGTTTCATGGATGCAATATTTGTCGAACCATTTACAACTTCAACCTCAAGGATATACAAGCCTTGTTTCTTCATACCTCTTAAGACTTTCTTCGACCCCTTCATGTCTCGTAGGATACTTTTCTCTCATTAGAAAACATATTCTTTCTTGTCGAATTCACCAAGAGAAATCAAATTTCTCTTCAAAGCAGGTACATACCTGACTTCAGTTAACAACTTTATTGATTCATCATAGAGCTTGAATCTCACAAATCCAACATTTGCAATCTTTCAAGCTTTGTTGTTTCCCATCAATACAGATCCATCATCTTGATCACATAATTCTTTGAACAAGTCTTTGTTTAGAGTCATGTGACAAGTGCAACATGAATCCATAATCTACTCCTTACTTGAGTCGCTGCTTGAAACCACAACATTAGATGAGTCGAAATCATCTTGAACAATGACTGCATTGCCATTATCCTTACATCCATGATCTTTCAGACGTTCATGGCACACCTTTCTTGTGTGACCCTCCTTCTTACAATGATAGCATCGAATACCAGATGCTTCGCCACTGTAAGACTTCTGCTGACTTTTACCTTTCTTCTTATCGAACTTCCCATTATTTCACAAGAATTTTCCATTAACGACCAAACCTTCACCAACTGTCAAAGGTTTATGCTCCTTTTCGTTCGATCAAGTCCTTAGAATACAAGGTTGATTGAACTTCTTCAAAGGCCAAGGACTCCCTTCCAAACAAGAGAGTTTCTTTAAAGTGATCATGTGTTCTAGGCAAAGCGCACAACAACAATAACGCTTGATCTTCATCATCGATCTTCACATCAATATTTTCAAGATTAAGAATCAACTTGTTGAACATATCCAACTACTCAACCAACACTTTTTCTTCAATCATCTTGAATGAATACAAAGCTTGCTTCAGATAAAGTCGATTTACTAGCGATTTGGTCATGTACAAACTTTCAAGTTTCACCCATAACCATGCCGCCGTCTCCTTTGATATCCGTCGAAGAACCTTATCACTAAGGCTCAATAAGATTGCACTGTGTGCTTTCTCTATCATTGATGTCGTATCAGCTTCCGTTAATGCAACGTTCATGGTTTCCTCTCCCTTCAACGCTTTCAAACAACCCTGCTGGACTAGTAGAGCTTTCATATTCAAGTGCCATAGACCAAAATCGTTCACTCCGATGAACTTTTCAATCTCATACTTTGTTGAAGGCATCTTCTCCATGCTCACCGCACCAATTTGTTGTGAAAAACGATACCTTAGAAATAAAGTATAAATTGTTTCTTTATGATCAAGAAACAATTAAGGGTAGAAAAGATGGAAAAACAAGAAGAACGCATTGAATGGTTATTAACTGAAATTCATTACTTTATCTTTAAATCAGATTACAAGTATACAAGAATAACAAATAACCCTCTCAACCTAAATTAGGATTTGTAGTATGCAGTGATGAGAGACTAGTATGTTATTTATAATAAACCTAACATACTAAATTAATCGGCTTTTTCTCAAATAACCATTACAAGCTAACTTAGGTGCAAGCTAAATTAAACAATTGGACATAACAAACATGTCCAATTCAAAATACTAAGAACCCTAACATTTCGACACCCACATACTAGAACACACTTCGACTACAATATATAGGTCTTCGACACCACCATGTGAACATACTTCGATGACATATGTATAAATCCTGTCGAACCAGAAGCTACTATTCGACCCAATAGAGTTTGATGCAATATCTCACACTCACTTTAACGTCAGAGTGTCTTGTAGATACCTTCCATTCACTTCAACAATCACAAAAGTTCAAATGTTACAGGTCACTGAAAATATTTTCTGATCTCGATAAGATCACTAGTAAAAAAAAAAAAGAGGTGGATTAAATTATAAAGTATTTAAAAAAAAATATCAAATCTAAAAAATAATTAATAAAATTTCATTATAAAAATATAACAAAAATAATATATATTTTAAAAAGGATGTTATGATAGTTTTGAATTAGTTGAATTAATGTTTAAAGGAATTAGAAGTCCGAGTTTAATGTATATAACAAATATATAAATATAATATTAAAATTTAATTACTATCAACTTACTATCATTTAAGAGAAAAATATATCCTATCTTAAAATCAAACTAATTTAATAAACAATTAAATTTAGAAATACAATAAAAATATTAAATATATTATAGTATTTAATAATTATATTTGATACTTACATTATTAAAAGGTAACAAAAATAAAAATATATAGTAAATTTAAATAGCTTTTTAGTCTTTGTATTTAATCTCTGACGTCAAAATATAATTGCTCTCAAGGGATTTTGAACTTGAGACATTTTATTCACAACACTAATGTCTGTCCACCAAAACACTTGTATTACTTATCAAATATTTAGAATGCATTTATATATAATAAATGTTAACTTCAAATGTATTTATTTATTTATTATATAATGTTAATACATGAAATATTTACTAAATTAAAATAAATATTTTTATTATTTAATATTTTAGACATAATTAAATATATTATATAATAATATCTTAATTATTAAATAAAATATTTAATAAAATAATTAATAAGTAATTAAAATATTTAATAAATTAATTATTTAATAAATTAATTATTTAATAAATTAGTAAATATTAAATATCTCAACTATTAATATTTTTAATATTTTGAAAATAAGTTTGGTTTTGTTTTGAGTTTTGTAAGTTTTGTTTTGTGATTGGAAAATTTTTAAATATTATATTTAATATTTTTGACAATTTTTTTTTAAATATTTAAATATATTTTTAAATTGTTATTGGATATTTATAAAATATTTACATATTGAATAGTTGAAATATTTAAAAAATTAAATAGTTAAAATAAATTAACTATTTAAATAATTAAAATATTTAATTAAATAACTATTTAATAAATTAAATAGTTAAAATAAATTATGTAGTTGAAATATTTTAATTATTATTTAATAAACTATATAATTAAAATTTAATAGTTAAGATATTAAATAGTTAAAGTATTTAATAAAATAATTACTTAATAAATAAAATAATTGAAATGTATTAAACAAATTATGTGAATAGAAATATCTATAAAAATGTATTAAAGAAATAGAAATATATATTAAATCAATATTTATTAATTTATTAAATAGTTTAAAAATTTATTAAACACATATGAATATATATTAAATCAATATTTATTGTTTATTAAATAGTTTAACAAATAGAAATATATATTAAATTAATATTTTAACTATTAATATTTTAATCATTAATATTAATTATTAATATTTCAAATATATATAAATTACTGTATATTATTATTTTGTAGAACAAAATAAAAATTAATACCAAAATTTAAAACAAAACAAAACAAAAATTAATACGAAAACTCTAAACAAAACAAAATCTTTTTAAAAACAAATTAGTGTATTATGTAATATATACGGTTGCATTGCAAATGTTAAACAAAAAAATACAAATGTCTTAGTGTCGAACTCGAACCCCCTTGACAATGGCTACTATGTAAACTCGTCATAAACATTTTTGTAATAGAGTTTTAACAAGAACTAAAATAAAAAACAAGTAAATTTACATGATGGAGAAAGGACAAAATGTAGGTCCCAAAAATTTCAGAAAAAGTTTGGTCCTACTAAAGTTCCCTCTATCTAACACCATCCACTCCTCACTTTTTTGAATGTTTATAAATGCAACTGCAAACCAACTCCATTTTGCAACAACAAAGTTTTTACCTTCACACTACAGTTTTCTTTTATTCCCTAAAAGGAACACACACAAAAATAAACACTTTCTCTCTCTATTACATTGAAACTTAGAATAAAGTGTTGAAAAAAAACATTACATTTTTCAAGGTTTATTATTCATTATGGGCTTCAAGCTCAATGTGTTGCTGTTGGTGATACTTGCAACTTCACTTATTTCTCAAGATGAAGCTTCTGTGTCTTATGATTATAAAGCTATCACCATTAATGGTCAAAGAAGAATACTGCTTTCTGGTTCCATTCATTACCCCAGAAGTACTCCTGAGGTATTTTCATCAAATGTCTTTCTGGGTTGTTCTTATTTTCCCTTTTTACCAACTGGGTCTTTTCAAGTTTCTACCTTTATCATTAAAAACATGTTTTTTGTTTGTTGGATAACTAAAAGCTTGTTTTTTTGGTTGTTTCAGATGTGGCCAGATCTTATCCAAAAGGCTAAAGAAGGAGGATTGGATGTGATTCAAACTTATGTTTTCTGGAATGGACATGAACCTTCACAAGGCAAAGTAATTATTAACATTAACAATGCTTGTTAATTGTTTTGTTATGCTGGTTTTGGTTCTAGTGTAATTTGAACTAATCAATTTTTGTTTTTGATTATTCAAGTATTATTTTGAGGGGAACTATGATTTGGTAAAGTTCATAAAGCTAGTACAACAAGCTGGTCTCTATGTTCATCTGAGAATTGGTCCTTATGCTTGTGCTGAATGGAACTTTGGGTAAAAACTAATAAAAGAGTTTAATCTTAGTTTCCTCTTTTAATTAAACAATAATCATTTTCACTTGAAATTTATTAACAACTTTGATGGTTCATTTTTTTAGAGGCTTCCCTGTTTGGCTCAAGTACATTCCAGGTATCAGTTTCAGAACAGACAATGGACCATTTAAGGTGAGTTAACAATTGTTATCATATCTTTAAGAGTCACTAAAAATAGAAAGAATTAAAAAAAATCATGTTGTATAGTTTACCCTTGTACTAACTTGATATTTCTGTTTGGTGAAGTTTCAAATGCAAAGATTTACTACTAAGATTGTGAATATAATGAAAGCTGAAAGGTTGTATGAATCACAGGGTGGTCCAATAATTCTATCTCAGGTAAATTAAGCAAATTTTTTTTTGTAAATATTCAAAAAATGTTAATCTTGCTTTTTGCTTATTGAGTAAAAGTTGAGATATGTAATGAAGGTATTGCCTTTGTTTTTGCATAGATTGAAAATGAATATGGACCTATGGAGTACGTACTCGGTGCTCCTGGTAAAGCCTATACTCAGTGGGCAGCACATATGGCTGTAGGACTTAGTACCGGTGTTCCATGGGTGATGTGCAAACAAGATGATGCTCCTGATCCTATTGTAAGTTAATCTTTTTTTGTAACTTTTTATGTGAGGTGTAAGTATGAAAATGATAGAAAGGGAAGAGAAAAAGACAGAAATGGTGTGATAAGAAAGTAAAAGAGATCTAGATTGTTCAATCTCGATTCAATGGTCGATATCGTTTACAATTAATTTATCAACAGGGTAATATGAACCGTCTGATCTCAAATCCATGGTTGAGAAAAGAGTGAAAATTTAAGATTATTCCTCCTTGTGCATGGTTGATATTTTCATTTGTTCAGGTTTTTCAATAATATTCTCATCATCATGTCTAGTTTTTTAGCACCATAACTTTAATGAAACTACCCTACATGCATGTGGTTCAAATTCAAAATTTGGCACTAAGTCAATTTCCTACTTTTTAGCAATGGAGAGAAAAATATAGTTATGTAAATCCAAATTTTCTTGATAATGTTGTTTGGAATTCTTGTCAAGTGTCATTTGCCAGATTCTGATTCCAATGTAAATTTTTTGCAGATTAATACTTGCAATGGTTTCTATTGTGATTATTTCTCTCCAAATAAGGCTTACAAACCAAAGATGTGGACAGAAGCTTGGACTGGCTGGTATAATGAATTTTTAGCTCATATTAAGTGTCTTGTTAACTCTTTAAGTTTCTATGGAAAGATAAAAATCATTGTTTGTATTCATTTTTTTAATTTTGCAGGTTTACCGGCTTTGGAGGTCCGGTTCCTCATAGACCTGCTGAGGATTTGGCATTTTCGATTGCAAAGTTTATACAGAAAGGGGGATCATTTATCAACTACTACATGGTAACTTAACTTCAATATTCGTTGACTTCAGTGTGTCGGTGTGTAGATTTGTCGTTTTTTATAATTCAACTAAAGTCCCTTTGTTTTGTTGTTTTTAGTATCACGGTGGAACAAATTTTGGAAGAACTGCTGGTGGTCCCTTTATCGCCACAAGCTATGATTATGATGCACCTCTTGATGAATACGGTACGCTCTAAAGATTTAAATATCGTTGATCTACATCTACAGATATTTAGACATGAGTGCAAAGATGAGTTATGTTATTGTTTTCGCTACGCAGGGCTTCTCAGGCAACCAAAGTGGGGTCATTTGAGGGATTTACACCGAGCAATAAAACTCTGCGAACCTGCTTTAGTTTCTGCAGATCCTACCGTAGTTCGTCTTGGAAACTATGAAGAGGTATATATATCTCAATTCAGTTATATTATATGAGATTTTTGAATCCTATCTAAAACATTCTCCGTACTAATTGGAAAAAATGTTTACCTTTCAGGCTCATGTTTTTAGATCAAAATCCGGAGCTTGTGCTGCGTTCCTTGCGAACTACAATCAACGATCTTATGCAACAGTGGCGTTCGGCAATCAGCATTACAACTTACCTCCTTGGTCTATCAGCATTCTTCCTAACTGCAAGCACACTGTTTATAACACTGCAAGGGTGAGGAAAAAAATTTGACGAACTTCTATTTTCAATGACTAGAAGTGAGATAGTTTTTTCAATGATGACTTGAAAAATCTCTGTACAGGTTGGTTCTCAGAGCGCAGAGATGAAAATGAGCCGCGTTCCTATTCACGGTGGACTCTCTTGGAAAGCATTTAATGAAGAGACAACAACTACCGATGATAGTTCCTTCACTGTCACTGGTCTTTTGGAGCAGATTAACGCAACCAGAGATTTATCTGATTACTTGTGGTACTCTACAGAGTGAGTGACATAAAACTCTACAGCATTGTTGATATATGTATTCATTTTGTTGTCTTCATGTTGGATACTTATGTTGTTCCTTTTCTTGTTCCTAGTGTTGTGATCAATTCCAATGAAGGATTCTTTAGGAATGGAAAGGATCCTGTTCTTACAGTATTATCTGCTGGTCATGCTTTGCATGTTTTCATCAATGGTCAGCTTTCAGGTCAGTAGAGAATTCTCCGGTTATACCATTTCAATAACATAAAGACATGGTCTATTTATCAATGTTTCCATTCAACTTCATCTTCAATACATTGAGCCTTTTATTTATGGTCTTTTGATCAGGAACTGCATATGGAAGTGTGGAGTTCCCCAAACTAACTTTTAGTGAGGGTGTGAAGCTTAGAGCTGGTGTTAACAAAATTTCCCTCCTAAGTGTTGCAGTTGGACTTCCGGTTCGTTTTCTCCTTCCCTCTCTATGCATGTCCGTCTAAAAATATGAACTGTAGTTGATGTCATCGCCACTATGTCTATGTTAATCACTTGCGAATTTATATACAGAATGTTGGTCCACATTTTGAAACATGGAATGCTGGTGTTCTCGGTCCAATTTCGTTGAATGGTCTCAATGAGGGGAGAAGGGACTTAACATGGCAGAAATGGTCATACAAGGTACTTCAAACATTCACCGTGCTATCTCACTTTTCATGGTTGCTTGAGTTTGCTCGAGTTTCATTTGAATTCATGTTTCATTTAGGTTGGTCTTAAAGGTGAAGCCTTGAGTCTTCATTCTCTCAGTGGAACTTCCTCGGTTGATTGGCTTCAAGGATATTTAGTTTCTCGAAAGCAGCCATTGACTTGGTACAAAGTAAGTATATAATTCCTCTATAACCCGCAGAAGCAGCAAAAACATATGTTTGTGTTTTGCTTTAATCATAAGCAAAAAAGTACATGTACTTTACTACATTATATGCAATTACAGACTACTTTTGACGCTCCGCTTGGAGTTGCACCGTTGGCTTTAGACATGATAAGTATGGGAAAAGGTCAAGTCTGGTTAAACGGACAACACCTCGGTCGCTACTGGCCTGCTTATAAAGCATCCGGTTCTTGTGATTATTGCAATTACGCAGGAACTTATAATGAGAAAAAATGTGGAACCAACTGCGGCGAGGCCTCTCAACGATGGTAAGATATCATATGTGTAACTTGTTTAAAAGCTTTTGTTTAATGTTGATGAGAAGCACCGGATACACTAACCACTGACTGATAATTCCAGGTATCATATTCCTCATTCATGGCTGAAACCAACCGGAAATTTATTGGTTATGTTTGAGGAGTTGGGTGGGAATCCAAATGGAGTGTTTTTGGTTAGAAGGGATATAGATAGTGTTTGTGCGGATATTTACGAGTGGCAGCCAAATCTCGTTAGTTATCAGTTGCAAGCTTCTGGTAAAGTTAGCGTTCCCGTGAGTCCAAAAGCACATCTGGCATGTGGTCCGGGACAAAAAATATCGTCAATCAAATTTGCTAGCTTTGGAACTCCAGTAGGGTCTTGTGGAAACTATCGCGAAGGAGGATGTCATGCTCACAAGTCATACGATGCCTTTCAAACGGTATTGTTACTTCTTGTTCTATTCACATGTTCTCTGTTTGCATTTCTCGTATATGTTTTCTTTTGAACCAAAGTTGCTGTTTTAACATACTTTTATTGTTGCAGAATTGTGTCGGTCAGAGTTCATGCGCCGTGACAGTGTCACCTGAAATTTTTGGAGGTGATCCATGTCCACATGTGATGAAGAAACTCTCAGTAGAGGCCATTTGCACCTGATGATTTTCAACCTCAGAAAATAAATGGAACAAAGATTCCTTAGAATATTTTTTCTTATGGTGAAGTTGCAGATAAACACAACACACCATCTGGTTGAAAAAGCCTATACAGAATTGCTATGATGATTGTGGTTATGTGTATATATACATATCGGTGTTTCAACTTGCTATATAGAAGGTGAAGGAAGATGAAAAGGTGGTTGATGATGCACATCGAGACGATGCCAATTGAGTCCATGTGCTGCAAATTGGTTTTTGTTTGTGTGGAAGTCTCTTGCTTCCTGTAAAATTATTATTGTTGATGTTTTCACTTCTAGATTGATGGAGACAACAATCTAGTTACTTTTTTTTTCTCTCCTTATAAAAACTTCGTAATGTAATAAGGTGTGTAATGTTAAATTTAGTAATGATATTATGCTTTTAACTCCTCAGTAAATTCTGATTCTTGTCCAAATTTAATAAATAAAAACTAAAAACTAAACTGAAAACAAAAAACAACAATGACTTAGTTGAAAACCAAAGTTGCTAATAATTTTCTTTGTTGTGTGTGAGTTTGCAGATCCAAGAGTTACTAAGATAATGGTAAGATGACTTATTTAGAAACTTTTATTTCTCCTATCTATATACTGTTAATTTCAACAATACTTCTAAGAGTCTTGCAGTTGTGTTTTTGTACGAATGAAATCTTAGAAACTCCAAAAGAAGCTCTACAACATTGTTGTTTTTTGTTTTAATTGGTTCACTGTTGTTTTTTGATTTAGCGTTAATTTTATTTAATTTTAATAATTTATTTTTTTAAATATAATTGGGTCAATAAATAATTACACTTTTTTTTTTTGGATATTTATGAAAAAATAATAAAGTAATAAGAGTAGTATATTGAACTTTTTATTTAATACAAAAATAACTTGCTTAATTTGTAATAATAGGTTATTTTTAATTTACCATGATAGACCAATAAATTTGGTTCACCATGTTAACCTGAGTGCAAATATAAGCATTGAATTGATCTCGACTTTTTTCTAGATTCTCCATGTATCGGTGTTTGGCCAAATTGTTAAGTTCAAGTATGATTAAAATCTTAAGAGTATAATTCGGCTTGGTTGGACGCAGGAGCTATATTAAGTGGAGATGTACAACATTAGTCTCATTATTTCAGACTTCGTCGTCTTCTCCGAAATTTTTCTTGAATATATTTGAAACTATCTAATAATAAATCCAAAGTATCTTAAAAGTTAAGGCTGAAAATGCTATTTAAAACGTTGCAATATAATTACACAACTAAGCTTTGTTAGTAGTATTTGTCATTTTATTTATTTTTTCAGTTTAATTCAAGTTTTGAGGTTGTTAAAGGAGATTAGTCACTTAGTTTCTAGTTTTATAAACTTTGCCAAGCGCAATTACTTGATGTGCAAGTAATTGCTAATCATGATTATATACATTGTTCTTTTTTTTTAAGCTAAATATCATTTTTGGTCCCTTATCCTCTACTTCTAGATCCATTTTGATCTCTCAACTTTAAAAAAGACCATTCCCATCCCTTATCTTTATAAAACGTTCCACGTTGTCTCAACCGTCAACTTGGCTCAAACGACGTTAGTATTTGCACTCGCGGCGGCTAACTTGGCATTGGGAGGTCATCTTCTTCGTTTTATTCACCAATATTTTTGGAAATTTTGATTTCTACATATTTATGGAACCTTAAATCGATTTAGGCTTAATTATTCATCTATCTTTCATCGACATATGTTGAAACTGTGATTTCTATCAACAATGACTTTTGCACGTTGTTCATCCGCTACAAAACAAAAGAGCACAGGAAGTTATGATTCTAATGTGTGATGGAAACCAACATGTCGATGTGGAGACTTAGTCGTTCTTTGTAGGCAACAACAATTAGCAATTTTGGGGTTGTCCATAATTTAAGGTTAGTTTTCCATGTCTTTTAAAAATTTTCATTGTTCACAAATTCAAGTATAACATTGTACCTTGGTTGTTTGGATTACACATGGATCTACTCAAGTTGGGTGTGGGTTTTTTACTGGTTCTATGAGGAAGTGTGTAACGATAAAGATCAATTTTTGATGAAGTAAAATCATAGGCTGGAAAAGTTAACAAAGGAACTTGATGCAACAAAAATGGAGGTTCAACAGCTAAGGGTTACAACTGAGCAACAAACCGCAGAATTATTGGAACTTGAAAAACAAATAAAGAACATTGTCTATTGGAAGAAATTTTGGAAGTTGTTTTTTTCTTCTTCTTTTCATTGTATCCTTTTTTATGATGTTTTAATTTTGGAACATGTTTCAATTATGTATAAGTGTTATGAATTCTCTTGTAATGGTTCAGTTTGTAACATGTTGTGCCATTTTGTATTAGTTCCTATTAGTTGTTAAAATTTTATAATATTTTGTGCCATTTTGTATCAGTATGTATTAGTTTGATACAACTGGTATCATTTGGTTCAATTTTATGTCATTTTGTATCATTATTCAGTTGATAATAATTGGTAACAGTTTGTTCATTTTGTATTAGTATGTATACTAAGGTGTTATACATAAGGTTCAATATATCTTTATACCAAATTTTTTTCCAACATACATAAGATTCAACATAACAGGTTGTAATTACATACATAAGCTCCAATATAACAGTTTGTTCAACATAAGCATTATGCCAACAAAATACAAATGGTTCAAAAGAAAGGCATTATGCCAACAAAAATACACGAGGTTCAAAAGAAAGGCATTATGCCAACAAAATATATTGATACTAAAGATATGCATTATGCCAATAAAAACAGTCACAGACAACAATTAATGATGCTATTTGGACTTATTTTTTGGAGTGGTCCTTTTTGTTGGAGTGGTCCTTCTTGTAGTTGGGTGAACTACATTCATAGTTGCACTTAATCTTGTTGTAGGCCTTGGGCTTACACTTGAAGTTGATCCCCTCTTAACACCAAACATTGCATGACTTTGTTGAGAAACTTGACTTCCTTGAGTAGCTTCTGTTGGCGCAGTAGCTTGAGTGACCTAACTTGAGTAGCATGACTTTAGGTTTCTACCAGATTTGATAACATATGTTTTAATTGCTTCCTTGAAATCACTTTTAGAGCTAACATATGTTCTTATCTCCTACTTGAAATCAACCATGTTTTTCTGCAATTTGAATATAGGGAACTTCTTTACTCCACTGCTAACATCACACTTACAACCACTATCCAACTTTTCACTATCATTTTCACTCCCTTTAGAATCTCCTTTGTATTCTTCACCCTGATGTTTCCCTTTCTTCCTTGTTCCATCTTGTTTAGGGTAATAGTCAATGAGATTCCTAACTTCCTCTTCATCATAGTCGTCGCCATTCTCATCAGAATCATCATCAAATCCTATTTCTAAAGCACTTTCAAAAATGAAGCTCTCATCCTCACTAGTATAAGAACTAAATTCAGAAATATTACCTGCTTGACCCTTAACTTCAACTGAATTCACATTACCAGTTTGACCCTCAAAATCAACTGAGTTCACATTGCCAATTTGACCCTTAACATCACCTGAGTTCACATTACCAATTTGACCTTTAACATCACCTGCGTTTACATTACCATTTTGACCTTCAACATTCCTAAATACTTCTTCATACAGTTTATTAAGCAATTCTTCTTTCTCAACATCCACAATTCCTTTATGATTAACATCTTTTTCCTCAATAATAGGACCCTCATAATAGTCAAGCTGAGATAATGGGTATTTGATAGAGATATCAACTCTTAGATGCACCCTACATAGATCATAAATATCTAATGCACCCTTTTCATCAACCAAGACATTCATCCCACTTGTTGGTTCATTATAATATATTGTATCTATTTCAGTATAACTAAGTATTTAAGTACATCAACTAACTCAAAATAACTCCACCTGTCTACATCTACTTTTAGATCCTCAACTTTTCCTCTTTCATAGACATTTAAGCCATTATCAGTGAATTCACCAGCATGATGAATTATCAGATGCAAATATTCTTCCATTTAAACCTATTTTCTAGCAAATACGAAAAACATTTAAAACCTTAACATTTCAATACCTCACAATTTAACATTCACATGCATCTAACGATAAACCCTAAATCTTGAATAACTAAAGATTTAACAGTTGCATTCATCATATAAAAAAAACCTAAAATTTCAAATCCTAAACTTATTTATTGACCTTTGTCAAAATTGCACAAGATTTCTCCTTCATTTTCTCCTTCTCTGCTTCGCGTAGCTTCGCCTTCCTTCGCTCACCTGCATTCGTTCGCCTCTGTTTCTCCTTCTCTACTTCATATAATCGTTTCATAAGAGAACAAAGCAGATGCTAAAATTCCTTAGGTTTACCCTTTTTAAGTCATGGCTATTCCATATCAGCATTTTTAATCTGAAGATATGCCAAGTGTTTTCCAGATGTCCATTTTTTTACTCTAACTAACGTTCATAACAAAAGAGACAAACATGGAGTGTTTTATAAATATAAGGGAGAAGAACAATCTTTTTTAAATTTGAGGGACCGAAATGGACCTAAAGGTAGAGATAAGGAACCAACAAGGGTATTTAGATATTTTTATAATAATACCATCCATTAAATGCTCAAAAATTTAATCTCTTTACAAAGATTGAATACTTACAAAGTACTCCTGAAGTCAATGAAATGGAGGTTGCTGATAGAGAAACTGAGAAGCAAGATGAACAAGCACCCTTGAAAAAATTCAAGAAACAAGAAGCAAGCAGAGAAAAATGAAATAAAAACAAAGAAAATAATCAGTACAAAGAAAAGTAAAAGGTTAAAGACAAGTCTGAATCATTAAGCAGAAATGGTAGATGGTTTATTAAGAACTAAATCAAGAAGAGATAAAATAAAGGTACAATGCTATAATTGTGAGAATTAGGATACTATGCAAATGAATGTTGTCTAGGTAATGGAAAAAATTCCAAGAATGGTGAAGAAGAAGCCAAGCTATCTCAAGAAGACTCTAGCTCATACTCGGATCCAGTTATGCTTGTGGCTACAATTGACGTTGACACCTCAAACTCTCAAATTGGCTACCTTCATATGGTTGCAGCAATAACAAGACTAAAAAGTAGGAGTGGCTGGTTGATTTTGATGAAAGATAGAAGACTAACATCATATTGGATGATAAAAAATATATCTTAGCATAAGGCACGAGACATGTGACTATACAAAGAAAAGATGAGAAAATAACAATGATTAAGAGTGTATTGTTTGCCCCAGGCATGCAATGTAGCCAGATGAGTAAGGGGTAATTAGTGCAGAAAGGTTATTTAGTGATAATGGAGAATGAAAGTTTAAAGTTGTTTGATTGTAAGAAGAAGCTAATCTTGAAGTCATGGTTGTCAAGAAACATGACTTTCAAGATATGCATTCAAAATTCAAATGTAATGTGTTTTGCTGAACATCACATTAGCAAAAAGATGAGCCATGACACAAGAGGTATGGTCATTTAAACTACAAAATCTTAAGTTAACTGAATTCCAAAGCGATGTGTTAAGAGTCCCTAAGGTGTAAATTCCTAGAAGCTCATGTACTGTATGCTTGATAGGGAAGCAACTTATAGTAGATTTTAAGCCTAGTTTGCTAATCAGAGCCAAGGAATGGCTAGGTGTAGTTCGCTCAAACACTTTGGATGACTAGAAGTACCTAGTTATAGTGGTAACAAATATTTCAATACATTTATGGATGAATTCTCCAGGATGTTATGGTTAACCGTTGTGATATATTTATAATAAATAAATACTTATCAATGCGGTTGGTAATGTTAACAGTTGTGAAATGGTTTACCCATATATAAGTGAATTAACTCTCACTTATTGACAGTAGCGCCGTTTCCTTCACAATGAAACCCTAACACCCTTTTTTTCTCTTCTTTTCCGCCATTAGCCATGAATCTTGTGTTTCATACGTTAAGATATTCTTCTTATTTCATCTTCTTGTTAGATAGTTCCCCATTATCTTGTTTGTTGCATGTTCTTTTTGTTGATTATTCTCATTTTTTAAAATTCGTCTTCACTACGTTAGCAAAGAGCATACTTTGGCTATGGTACATATTGTTTGTGTAGCTATGGAAAAAAGTACAAGCAACATAAATCTATGATGGAAACTTAATCCACCTTGTACTTCTTATTTATAGCTTCACAAACAAGATATTTTTCATACTCTGTTGACAAATAAGTTTGCGGTTTCACATGTTGATAACTTTCATGGTCAATGTAGGACTCAACAAGAACAAAACATTTTAGTAAATGAAGAAATAACAGCGGCAACAAACTTCATCTAGTTTGAGATACAATGAGAAGAAATATAAGAAGTATGAAGTTGTTGTGTAAGCTTCTTCCTCCTTATATTTCATTGCTTCACAAACTAAATGAACTTCATAATTGATTCCTGTTCCACGATTAGTTTCAATAAAAGGTGCGTCTTGGAAATTTATAATATATCTTTTTCATTGCTCACAAATTTATAATATCCGGTTTTGTTGTATGATATCGTTTGAGTTTATTATATTCTATGTAGATTGTTTATTTCACTAACCCTCACTTAAAATACATCCATTTAAATTGACATAGATACTTATAATTTGTAAATTAAGTTGTATTTGAAAACCAACTTATATCAATCATTGTTTTCGAATTGCATGCGTCTATCGTTCATTTCATGTTCTTTTACATATAGATTATGGTATAATGACATGCCTCCTTAGATGCATCGTTGTCTTTGATTATAGTTAAATTTCATTAACTACAATTTATTGGATAATCCGCCTCATCATCAACACTTATAATCGTAAAAATTACAATTATAAAAATTACGATGATAAGTGATGATGATGAGATAGATTATCCAATGTATTGTTGTTATGGAAATTTAACTATAATCAAAGATAGTGATGTATCGAAGGAGTTAGACCAATAAATCACAATATATATGTAAAAGAGCATGAAATGCATGATGAGATGCATGCAATCATAAAAAACAATGGTTTGTTTAAGTTGGTTTTCAAGAATAGTTTAATTTTCAGATTATAGATTTCTTCATCAATTTGAAAGCTTGTTTTTCTTTAGTGAGGTGTATGGAAAACAAGCAATCTACATATTATATAATAAACTTTGGGTACTTTCAATAACGATTATCTATTATAAGTGTGACCAAAGGTGATTTATTTTTTACATAATTTGTTGTTGATGAGTTTCGAACCCATTACCTTAGTGTATATATCACAACAGTTTATAAGCCTAACTGTTGTGATATGAGACGTGCATCCTACCTTTCAATAACAGTTTCTAAACCATGGTAGAAACAACAAACTTACAACCACACGCTACTTAACAACGATATGA